CCGACTACTCCATGAAATATTTCTTTCTTCTCATGTTAAAGTATCGGCTTCTAACACTCCCATTGCTATGGGTCAGTCACGGCCACACCGCTGATTCATCATTGAACCCAGGGCCTGCCAAGGGAGCCTATGAAGAAGGAAGGGGAAAGATAAAGCTGTGCCTTTCCCGGGGCATCTGGCAAGCAGAGGGTGTTGTAAAATTCTGGCAGCCTTTCTTGACAACTAAATCCCAGAAGGACTTTCCAAGAACTCCAGCAGAGATGAAGGGTTCACCCTCCAGGATCTCTGTAACAAACACAGCCTCAAACCTCAGAGCGGAAATGGTAAAACACAAAGGCAGGAAGACCCCTAAGATCCAACAGCCTCCCTCTTTCCACAGGGACCCAGCTAGTGGCAGCGAACTAAGAGGAGGGCGCCCAGACCTGGCACCCCCCAGCAGAGACATCACAGAGAAACGGTGAAAGGGCTATACACAGCCGAGCAAGGACATACAGATGTGAGGAGACGCCGCTACCAACTACATGTCATCCTCCAGGGTAGCACCCACTAAGGCCCAGTGCTCTGGAACAGAATTTCAGGTCTCTCTGCCCAAAGACTCACCAGCCCATGGAGAGCCAGGCAGAGAATTATGGCAGCCTAAGGTCCAAGCTCATCTGTACTGCCTACTGATGTATCACTTCTTGTATGCATTTTGTGAGACAAAAGATGAGGGAGTTCAAACTCCTGTCTTCATCCATCATAGGGGGGAAGAAACTCAAGTCTGGAGCTGGGAAGACAGGTGCCCAAAGCCTCTTGTGGGATTTGGGGTACACACCACGCATGAGTCTGGCCTCCTGATTTTGGTTCTCACCTTCTTTCTCCTGACTCCCCACAATGGCTTCCTTGGTTTCCTAGAGCAGGACCCAGGCCAGGGCCTCTCCTCCCCAGATACCCCTCCAGAGAGCATTGCTCCCTGGCCCAATTTCAGGGCTGGTCTGGGTGAAACTCTCTAGCAGAAAATCTTTATGCAGCAGACACTGACACTCTGCAAGACAAGGGTGTTGAATAGACAGACAAGGAGACCATTGCATGAGCAGCTCAGAGTCATCAACTTGCTACCTGCTGCTCAGTGATAACTGGGCCAGACATGATGGCTCTGGAACTCCATGTTCTAGTCTACTGACCACACCAAAAGAGTCACCAGGACCATGTGCTAGTTACTTTTCTTGTCATTGTGGCCAAATGCCTGACAGAAATCACTCAAAGGAAGACAAGTTTATTCTGGCTTAGTTTGGGAGGACACAATCCATCGTGGCAGGACATTATAGGGACTGGAGGAGGTTGCTCTGTGAAAATGGAAGCTTGAAGTAACAGGTTTCATAGAGTATGGGCCAGGAGTCTGGGGGCTCAGGCCAGAAGCAGGGCTAGATTATAAGAGGGCCAACCTAGAGTGACTTTCCTCCACCGGCCGTGCTATCTACAAGGCTCTGCAACCTCCCCAAATAAAAACACCACCAGACTTCAAACACATTAGCCTACAGGGGATATGACACACCAGAGCACCATAGCATCCAATGCCTGGCTCTTAGGAAGGGCACTGGACTGGAAGACAGTTCCAGAGCTATACCTGGCCCAAGTTATCAGGGTCAGCAGGTAGCAGCAGGTAGCCGATGCTGGCTCTGTGAGCTGCATATCCAGTGATTTCCTCAGTTGTCTTGTCAACCCATGTTTCCCACAGAGTGTCAAGTGTCTGTTACATAAAGATTTCCTGCTGGAAAGATACTCAAGGATCGAATCCAGGAAGCAATAGGAGCCAGGGTTACGGTGAGGACCTTGGGCCTCCAGCATTCACAGAGCAAACCCCAAAGCACCTGTCTCCACGATAGTCATCAGATGGCATCTGATCAAGGAGTAGCGGGCACATTGGGTACATTTAGACTTCCAATATGTCCCCACCACAGCAGGCTATGCCAGCGTGCCCTCATCCTGCCTGTGAGCATCAGAGCACAGTCTCAGAAGGACAGATCCATAGAGGAGTTATACTCCAATCTAATGAGAAACCATGAGACTCAGAATGTCAGTTGGAAGGGGTTTTAGTCAGTCAGTCATATAACCCAGCCACATAGGATGGGCAAAATTTGTAAGATAGTTAACACTGTACCTACAGCAGAGCCAGAAGGACGCCTGCTCTAAGCACAAAGCTACTGTTCGGTAGGACCCTACTGGGGAGTCTATAATAGTGGCAGCTAAAGGCAGAGTGTTGTAACTGGCCAGCTTTGAGATCTCCACCTATCTACTCCTACCATCCCTAATCACCACCAGGACCCAAGACCGTGTCCAGATGACCACTCTCTGGCTACTATAGTTTGAGTACTTGTTTCTTTTGTTGTATTGAGATGGAGTCTTGTCCTAGGATGTCCTCAAACTTACTGTATAGAGCAGGCTGACCTCCAACTAGCAATTCTCCTGCTTCTGTCTTCTAAGTGTTAGGATTAAAGGCATTTACCATTCTGCCTAACTCTATAGTTTTGACCTAAATGGCCCCAAATGTTCATCTGTGAAGGACTTGGGCCCCAGGTTGGCACTATGAGAAGGAGTTGAAACTTTAAGAGGTAGGACCTAGTGCAAGGTCTTTAGCTTACTAAGAGTGTGTCCTCAAAGGGACTATGGAGTCCTGATCTCTTTCCCTTCTTCTGCTTCATTTCCCAGATACGAAATGAGAAGTTTGGCTCTACACCACAGGCATTACAAGATACTGCCACGGGTGCCCAGTAGTGAGTGAACCAATCTTGAACTAAAGCCTCAGACCCTGGGAGTCAGAGTGAGCCTTTCTTCTGTAAGCTAATGACATTGAGTGTCTTGTATAGTAACAGAACCCAACCAACAACACTGGCCAATATCTCCCTTCTTGTGAGAGTCTAGGATCTCTTCCACCAGGAACACATACCCCAACCCTCAGCCAGGGTCATCTTAAGGAGGCATATTCCGTGGAAAGGAAGGTATCTTGTCAAAGTAGCAATCTGGTCTTCCAAGTGCCCGAAAATAAACAGACATTCAAAGCAGCCATCCAAAACTAATGGCCATCCAAACCTCAACCCTGTGACACAAACTTTATTTCTTGGTTCTTAATTTCTCTACCTGAAGGAATTAGTCTTCCCTCCTTCGAGGGATGATAATAACAAAACATATTTGACAAGCATTCTCCTAGAGACTAGGAAGGCTTTTGGCTCACACTTTGAAACTGTGCTTCTTAACAAGCCCCACAGGGGACACTTGGCAGTGTCTAAAGACATTGGTGCTTTTCACACCTTGGGAATGTGTAAGTGCATCTAGAAACAACTCTAGGGACAACGCTTAACATTCCACAATGCAAAAAAAAAAAAAAATGCTGACAAAGCCAAGGTGTCCCCATTGCTGCTATTAAGAACCAGGATTCAGAGCAATAGGAGTCTTAGACGGTTCCAAAGCCTGGGACCCAGATCCCTGTACTCAGACTCAGAGAACAAGCTTCAGGCTGGCCACTGGAGCCTGTAAGAGCTGACCACACACGGGGGCGGGGGGGCGGGGAACAGAGAGAAAGTAAAAGATGGGGAATGCTGGCCCCAGTGCCTCCTAAATGCAGGAAGGAAGAACAAGAAGAAAGGGTCACAAACCTCATCTAGTTTTTTTTTTCTAATGTTTTTAATGTATATGTGTATGCATGGACATTTGTGCATGTACAGGTATGTGCATGTGTGTTCATCTACGTACCGAGGCCAGATGATAACCTTAGACATTATCCTCAAGTATCCAATCCACCTTCTTGGGGATGGGGTCTCTTTCTGGCCCAGAGATCACCAATTAGGCTAGGGTGGCAAGTCAGCAAGCCCCAGGGATCCTCCTGCCTCCACCCCTTCAGCCCTGGGGGTTACAAGTTTACACCACCATGCTCAGCTTTCTTACATGGGTGCTGGGAACCAAATGCAGATCTTCACGCTTGCAAAGCGAGTGCTTGACAGGCTAAATCACTCCCCTTACCCTCATTTCGCTCTCAAGCACACACCCAACAGGCAAAGCCAGAGCCCAGCACGGTCTTTCTCATTCCTCAAGGAATCACCCAGGAGCAGGTGATTCCTACCTCAGACGCCTCTCTGGTAGCTCAAGCAGTGGAAAGAAAACCCAGAGCAGCCTGGGAAGCGGCGACACTGATATAGCTGGGGACCCCTCGTCTGAACTGTTAAGGACCAAGCATGTTCAGTATTTCAGAGAGTCACTGGATTGGGGATATTTGCATATCCATAAATGAGATATCATAGAAATGGGACTCACACACAAAACTGGTTTGTTTCCTGCATACTTGATGCACACAGCCTGAAGAGAATCTTACACAATACTTTCAGTAACCCACTTTTTCACTTTGCCCCATCACATAAGGTCAGTTGTAGGGTTTGCCCCTGTGGTACCATCTCGGTACTCAGTGTAGTCTAAACTTTAGAGCAATGTTGAATTTGGATGTCTAGGATGAAAGAGCCTAAATCTATACCAGCAAACATGACCAGTATTTCCAGAACATACCCAAGAACCCTTCAACATGGTATGTGATTTACAATCCGCTGACTCACTACTAACCCAAACAGATAGGGGCTTCTTCACTCACAAGTGAGGAAATCAAGGCACAAAGAGATTGGGAAACAACTGGACCAGAGAAAGTGCCAAACAGAAGATCCAGAGAAGCAGAAAGCTAAACGCAGATGAGATTGGTGACAAAACATCAGAGTGGCACCAGGTTTCAGATTCAAGATCTATCCATGACCACCAAGGAGCCAGGCAAATGCTTAGCACCAGGCACTACTGAAGGAGGGAGGCCGGGTGGCTTCCTCCAAGCCAGGAGCCAAGGCTCAAAAATGGTAAGGAGCAGGCAGGGGAAGAGTGGAGTCAACAGAAGACCAGGAAAGACACCTGAGTCCAAGAGATGAATGACCCATGCCACAGGGATGAGAGGGGGGAAAAAAACAAGCCAAGCACCAGCGAGGATCACTTACCTGAGAAGATTGAAGCAAGCCTGAAGATGTCAGAGAGGCGTGAGGTCACAGGTTCATAGGGGGAAGCTTCATAGAACTCCTCACCTGGAAGAGAGGCGGGGCATGAGACACAGGCTCCTCCTCTCCGGTAAAGCCCTCCCATCAGACAACAACCCTACCTAAAAAACTTCCACCAACACACCCCAGGGCCATCTAGGATGTGAGAGAGGCCAGCCCTTGCCAAATTGGAAAATGCTGTGCAGGCAAGTTAGAGGTGAAAGTTCAGTGTGTTGAGATGAGCTATTTCTCACCAATCAGAGCAGGTGTGACTGCCTGACACGTGACTTCCCTGCAGGACTCACCCTCTTTAAAGGAGTCTAGGAGGAATAATAGCCTTTGGAAGGTCAAGGGCAAACCACAAAATCTGGAGACAGGGGCCCTACTAAAACTTTTAGCCCAACTTCCCTGTTTCACAAGAGAAGGCTCTTGGGTAGCTGGGCAGTGTAGCCCCTGGGAGTTGAAGTCTCACACAGCTTTGAGTGGAAGACCCAGGGCTCAGGGATCTCCTGGAGACCCACACTCGTAAGTTTCCCTTTGCCTCACATCATGTCACCAGAAAGAGTCTAGCTAGGGAGATTAAAAGTCACCAGGTGAAGGGTTTGACCCCATGCGCCTATTTCCCCAAAACCTCTCCACTACCTGTTATCCCTGTGCCTCCTCAGAGTTTCAAGGTACATCAGAGGCTTGCAGTAGAAAAGCAAATAAATGGCAGGAAATAAATGGCCCAGGATGCCCAGGAGACCCCCACCACATTATCAAGAATCCCATACCCTCTGCGGACACCTTGCGAGAAAGGAAATATTCTCGGGAGACCTGACCAGTGAGGAGAAATCAATGCAAACTCACTCAGACTGAGTGTGTGGTGATAGGGAGGGGCAGACAGGGGGTGACCCACAGCCTCACCCATTGATTTCCTATCCAGCAGGGCCTGGCATCACCGGCAGGCACCCTTGCCTACAGAGAGCCCGGGTGAGAGGCATCTGTGAAGGATGCCCCTGGAAGAGGGAGCAGAGACTGCCCCTGTAAAAGGTACCTTCATCTGGCCCAAGAGGCCACAGAGAACCAGGACTAGAGATCCAGCTAGCCCTGGGATGCTCCATAGCCACTGAGTGCCTTCCTCATTAGAGAAGGTACCTGCAAGCTTGGGTCAAGATACCCAACGCACAGGGAAGAAGCTCATGCCCTCCCATTCACAGGAGTTCTAGCCTGCATTTTGCCAGGAAATGTTGTGCACCAGGCAGCACCCAGAACACACAGTGTGTGCCCCACTGGGATCCGCTCACAGCTTCATCCATTGCCTCTCATGGTCTAAGTACCCTCCATTCCACCCACTGAAGCTTAACTTACTCCCTCCCAGGAGACTCCCAGGAGTGGGGCCCCAGGCATTGCCATATATTAAAGACAAACAATGTAAGAGCTTGGGAATTGCTGTTATGATAAAAATAATAATAATAATAAAGTTGCATTGCACTTTCTACATGTCCACAGCCCCAAGCATACTTCGCACACACTAACTTACTCTCTTCTTCACTGCTCTGTGAGCTAGGCACTATTGCTCCCCTAATAGTGCTGACAAGGAGCAAGGAGCACAAGAGAAGTCACGTGCTCCAAAGTGCCTTGGCTTCATTGCCTAGTAAGCTACAGAGCCCAACTTTAGTCTTAGGGTTGATGGTACTAGGGTACAAGGCCCTCTCATGTTATGACACTCTCCCAAGTATCATGTGGCTTTTCAAAAGGCCCCTTGGTTAGAGCACTGTTACCAGTGTGGTGTTCCCCAGCGCTGCCCAACTGCCCCCTTGCCTGACTTTGGGAAACACAGCCTTCGGTCTGGTTGTAGGACACCCCATGCCACTGGCTAGCCAGGGGTCCTCCCTTTCTAAGCCCCCTGTCATTTAAATGGTCTGTCCCTGCAGCTGGAGCACCAGGAACTATCAAGCCTGGGCCACTGAAGCCCGATCCAGGATGCAGTCTGGGAACTGATACCTGTGGTGGCCCTTTGCTCTTCATGGTCTAGAGATCGGGGACCGTGAATTTCAGAGTCACCTTTGGAGCAGCATTGGTGACATCCCCACTGTGGCCATACATGGTTGTAATGACAAGAAAAGAAGAGACCCCCACACCTATTTCCCAGCCACAGGATCACCCTCAGCCCAGTCAAAAGGAACTTGAATATGGTGTAAGGACCCTGGATTCAGCCATCAGCTTGCTATGTGACCTGGACAGTCATTCTAGCCCTGTGACTCAGTTTTCCCTACAAACAGGGCTAATGGGTTACAGTCCTGACTCCCAAAACTCCATAGCTACCTCTTGAGAGGCCATATGCCTGTCACACTGGTTTACCTTCCTCCAGGGCCACCTCAGCTCCTGCTGCAGGTGTGGGGTCCTGGAGTTGGGTAGAGGAATCAAAGACATGGGCAAGTTCCACCCACCTCAGGTTCAGAGGGAAACCAAGAATCCAAGGAAGGTCCCATGTCGTCCCTCCCCATCACCTCTCCTCTCTCAGTGTGGTTTGTCCTCCCAGGCCCAGCCCAGCTACTAAGTATTATTAAGGTGTATGGAGAAGGTACCTACAGCCTCCCCCAGGGAAACGGCTCAACCTTACAATGAATTATTAACTCTCAGGCAGACCTTAACCCTCACAGGGATATAACCTCCTGCTCAAAGGCCTCCTCCTGGCTTCTCCTGACGAATCCTGAACAGTAAATCTCCAGCCCTGAGACCTAGGAGAAGAGGCAGCCTCTTAGAGAGAAGAGGCAAGCGTCCACAGAAAGAGGCAAGCGTCTGCAGAAAGAGGCAAGCTGGGATGCATCTCTGGAATTCTCCCATGGCAAGCATAGGCTCTACAGTCTCCATGGGGCCAGCACCCTCTGAGGCCTACAGTGGTGTTAACAGGTGGTAGTTGAGTGAATGAACTCAGGAGTCCCCTCCAGACATGGCCCCAGAGATAGCTATGCGCAGGGAGGTGTTCCAAGTCCAAAGGGCCCTTGAATATCCCACGGCATTGACAAATGAATACACACAGCATCATGCTCACCGCTGCCACAGAGACATCTCCCTCCTCCTGCTTCTGATCACAGGCTGTCCTGCACACAGGCATACCGATGCCAAAGGGAGCCCCCAAGGTGATGGGACGGTTCCTGCTAAGTCAGTTCTATGGCTTCCCCTATTTGTTGCTCTGCAGCCCAAGCGGGCCCACCTCTGCCAGCTGTCTGAAGACCTAAGTTCAGTTCCCCGCTGGCTTACAACTGTCTGTAGCTCTCAACTCCAGAGAATCCTATGTCTCTGGCTTCCGTGGGCACCTGCACTCATGTGCTCAGAAACCTCAAGCAGACGCGCGCGCGCGCGCACACACACACACACACACACACACACACGTACATAGTTAAAATAATAAAAATAAATGCCTTTCAAAAGCTCTGAACTCAGAAATGAAAGGCAAAGCTATCCACTTCCAGAAGCAGGAGGCTTCATGGCGTGCAAGCCAGAGGTAGACTACTAGGTATACAGTTCCTCATGTCGTGTATGGAGAAGCACCTGTGTGTTAGGACAGCCTTGCCTTCCTGGGTGCTAGAGAGAAGAGGCCACCTAAGGCCTAGGGGATCACTGTTCTTGGTGGCAGTGATACAATTATTAAGTGTATGAGCTTCCTAGCCATATGTTCAGAGCATATCTGAGCCATCTTGGTGACTGCTAGGGACCCCTCTCTCTTAGGACTCTACTGTTGTAGCTGGGCTCCTCCCTCCTTTCACCCTTCCCTTCTGGTACTCTACAAGGGAACTCTTCTCTCATCTTAGGCTACTGAGCCACTTCTGTCCCTAGTCCCACCCCCTGTCCTCACTCCCAGAGGCACAAATGCACAGAGAACCTTCCTGTTGTCTTCCCCCTGCCTCTCCATCACTCCTAACTTCCTTTGGGGTTTAGACAGCCCCACCTTCTCTCACCTTTAAAAGAGAAAATAGGTCGTCCCTCTGTTCTACACACACACACACACACACACACACAGAGAGAGAGAGAGAGAGAGAGAGAGAGAGAGAGAGAGAGAAAATAACTTCTGGGAGAAGTTATCCACATTCATCATGTCCAATCCTCTGCCTCCACTCACTCCCTAACCAGGGCTCTGTTCCCAGAAGCCACTTAGGAGGCTTACCCAAGGGGCATCAGGGATATCTCAAGTCTTTCTCCTGCTTGACCTGAAATGTGTGAGCTATTGAGAGTCTTCTGTTTCCTTGGTGGTCCTCCCAATCCTCTTCCAGAACCTTCTCAAGCACCTGGGCACATCCCCTCCCCTCATCTGCCCTTTAGAGACAGCAGGCCAGGACCTCTTTCACTGTCCTCATTCTGGAACTGCACCCCTGTCTTAGCTCCAGCTTCTAAACAAAGGCTCATGGACACTCTAGAATCTCTCTAGAATCACATCCTTCCCTGAACTCCATACCTGCATGCCTACAGGGCTTGACCAATGACAGGTGGGGAGCCCCAGAGCAAGACCACACCCCCTGCCTTCTTCTACTCAAAGCCTTGGCAGGCACAGGAAGCTGGGGGTCTTCCTTGGCCACTCTTTCCCTTCCCATCTCCCAGGCAGTAGTTGACAAAACCTGTTGATTCTACCTTGTTCAGAAGCATGCGCATCCATTTTTCCTTGGTTGCCCTGTCCTGTTCCTGCCATTGTCCCTGCCTGGGGTCACAGTCCCTACAACCGACTGTCTTCCCTAGAACTCCATGGACATTCTTTTCGAGTGTCAATCTGATCCCCTCCCTGGAAATCTGAATTAAAAGCATTCAAGTTTCCCATTGCCCAGCAGATATCTTTCCTCCTAGCCCCCAGCCCTTCCAATAACAATGGAAGTAACATTGTCCAGTTACTTCCAGTTCTTCTTGAAGATTCAACTCTCAGGCCTGACCCTAACATGCTTCCCCCTCCAGCTGCCCACTCTTAGTATGTCCTTCACCTGGGTGGTGACTCCATCCCAGCCTTGAGAGAGCATCTTCCCAGATGCTTTAGGTTTTTTAACAAGGGCTTAACCGCCCCTCTGAGGCATTTCTACTAGGCCCTGGACCTTCCATAGCAACACTTAGGCCTTCAAATGGCAAGTTCCCCCTTTCTTACTGCACTCCATCCCAGGCAAAGGCAACCCCTGATTCCAGACTATTCCAGTAGCACCAAGCAACAATGCGCTCTCAATACATGCTTGCCGAATTAGTAAATGAACATCTGGCCAAGGTGACCAATCATCCTGAAGTGTGTGCAGCTCTCAAGGTCCTGTCTAGACGGAGGAGTATCGAGGAGGTGTCACTGGGGGAGGGACTCCCAGGTTCTGTCTTGGGCAGGCTTGGGGAGAGCTTGCCTAGAGACGTGGAACCTGTTGCTCATGTCCCATCCTGAGCTCCTAAGGTCTGTATAAAATACCTAGGTCAGCCATTAGGTCCTGGAACCACATGAAGAGAGCAATTTTCTGGGCTCAGCTCCGGGTGAAAGGGCATCAGAGTGGCAGGGGCTGGTACCTCCTGCTCTCTATCTGCCTGGTGCTTCTTCCCTCTCCTGGGCACAACTTCTGCTGCCCTTACTTGCATCCCGCCATCCAGCTCGTCCTCCATCTGTGTCATTTCCCTTCCTCTACCGCTATTGTCCTCCTAAGAGGGGTCCTTACTTCCTCTCGATTCTAGCTTCTCTTACGGACTTGTCAAACAGGGAGCAGATCCTGTCACCTTTCTACCAAGCCCTCCCTTCTGTACCCCTGGCTGGATCCATCCTCTTCCCTACCACCACCCTTCCTCGGGGCCCAGCCAGGCTTACCCTCGGTCAGCCCCAGATGGATGCTCCAGTAGATCTGCAGACACTGCAGCTCCTTCTTCATGCCCCGCTTGCAGCGGCAGTCATACAGCGGGCTTTCCTGCAAGACCTCCAGGGCCGCCTGGCACTCCTTATTGGCCAGCATTGTATTGCGATCCCGGCCCGCCAGGCACTGCCGAAGAGTGCGGTACCTGGAGCTGCAGTTGGATTCAGCCGCACACAGCTCATTGGCCCGGACACAGTCCACTGGGGGGCGCCAGCCGTGGAGCTCAGAGCCCTGCAGGGGGGAAGGGCTGGCCAAAGAGCGGAGGGTTTCGTCTGGGTAGTGGGGAGGGAAGACAAGCATGAATGAGGGCTACCACAGTCTCCGACCCCAAGGCAGGCCTAAGGCTTGAAGAAATTTCTCACCCACTTTTGTACCAAAGTACACAGAGAGTAAGGTCAACTCAGACCCAACCTAGTCAGCCATGTTCCCCTACAATCATGGTTCATATTCATTTCCTCTGAGCACAGTCCTAGGCAGCGGCCTTCACTGAAAACTGCAGGCAGGCTAAGACGCTGGTAGTCCAGACAGAATGCCATGCCCTCAACAAGGAATGGTAGGGTTTATACAGCGTGACCTCACTGCATCTCCCAACGTTCAAACCTTGGCTCCATCCAAGGCCTTGGTTTGAAGGCACTAAAAGTCAGGTAGCCTTCAGAGACCGTCTGAACCTTCGAGAGACCCAAGAATCAAGCCTCGCCGTCACATTTCAGGGACACTCAGGTCCAAAGAAGGGAAACAACTCAAGGTTGCACACAGAGAAGCAAAGCCCTCCAGCCCTTTGTCTCAACATTCCACTGTTGCTAGGATCTTAGAAGACAACGAGAAACAAGCCTAACCCTGTGGTCCAGGAGGCCCAGGAGGGGGAAAAGGAGACGCCCTTTAGGCCTTGCCTTTCCGTATTTGCCAACTTCATTCCAGACAATGGCCTGACCAAGTGGCTGCATAGCCAAGTTCCACCCCAGCCTCCTGCGAAAGAGAAGGCATTAGGCGAAGCACAGAAGCGAACCTGCTCTCCCTGGTGCGCAGGACTTGCCTCCCCCACCTCCACCTCTCTACTCCTCTTGCTTCCTGTCTCCCAAGGGCTCTGTTCTCAGCAGACCTCATCAACTCATCACCTTTTCCCTTCTCCTCCCCTTTCCTTCCTTTCCTCCCTATCCTACTCTGAAATTCCTCTCTCCCTCTTTTTTAATTCCTTCCAAAAGCAAAATAATAAATCAATTACAGAAAAGAAAACACTCCCCTCCTTTGGGTCCTGCCTTCCAGCCTGAGCTGGCTTTAACCCACCCTTCTTATCTGCTTCCCACAGTAACTCAGAAGGGAGGGGTTTGAAGAGTGGACATGAAGGGCAGAGAAGAAGCTGGTCAGACCCTTTTAAAGCCAAGCTCCCAAAATGGTTTCCTCCAGATATAGACGACATCTTCTGTCTCTATGTCCTTCCTTAACTCCTAACTTCAGACCCTGCCCCCCACCAAAAAAAAAAAAAAAACAAAACAAAAACAAAAACAAAAAAAACGCCATACCACTGCTACAGCAAAGACTGCCTTCTGCAAGACCCAAAGGATAATTTTTGGGAGGTGTCCTCTACTCCCTCCCACTCCAAAACAGAATAAAATTCTAGGCCATTAGTCCCTTCCTCAGAATACCGCAGAATCCCCCACCCCTTTCTTGCCCAGCCACTCTCAGGCCTTCTCCCTAGGAGGCCCTGCTCACAGGGGAGCTACTGCAGGGAGACAGCGACACCTACAGGTAGAGCTGCACACAGCAAGCCTGTCACTCCCCAGAGCCCCTGGTGGGGGGAAATCATTCCCAGAGAGCCTTAGGCCTTTCCCCACAAGGAAACAGCAAAGGAGATGAAGGGGAGCTGGACTCCCGATGGAGGAGGCTCCAGTTAGAGCAAAGGAAGATTTCTTCTCTCCTGACCATAATCCTGCCTCAGAACAGAAAGAGCTGAAGAATGTAACCACTCCGAGACAAAACAAGAGGTAGAAACCTGTACTGAGTAGGAGTTACGGGAAGCAAGGTCGGCGGGCCCAGGCACTAGTCTTAGATGTGTCCTCCACGAAAGCTGAGGTAGCAGCTTTCTTTCTAGGCTTCAGCAGATTCCAACGTTGCTTTACAGGACTCTAGTGCCTCTGGGCCGCCCAGGAGCAGCTGAACCACACCACACTCCCACCCCATCCTCCCCCCCACACACACTTGCACCTGTCTGCCTCTCTCAGCCAGTCCTGAGCTTCCACTGACTTCATCCTACAGATTCAGAAAGAGGTAGGTCCACCTTCCACCTGACTGAGCTAGAGGCTGGACTGTCTGAGGGGGCTTAGAATGGACATACAGACATTCAGGGCTTTCTACTGGCTCAGAATTCACACTTGTTTAAAGTCAGCCTAGAAGCTCCAGAGAGTGCAGCAATAAAGCAACTCACTCTGCCTGCCCTGCAACTGAGCCCAGAGCCCCCAGGATGCCCTGAACACCGGTCTTCTGTTGGCTCCCCGGCCATTATCGAGAGACTTCCCATCCTGTCAACTGGTGTTCGTGATATGCTCTGCAGAGGACCAGGACATGCTTTCACCGACTGTCCTAATCTCTGGGACTCAGCTTCAAAGCTCCCAGAAGCAGCCATGCCCAGACAGAGAAAGGGACTCACAGCAGCCAGGGTTCGCTAGCCAAGAATCCAGAAAAATCTGGTTTCCTGGCCTGAAGGAAGGAAACTTGGGTCTATGGAGAGTAGGTAGTGTGGAACAGTTCCAGGGAGCACAGGGAAGGGGGGGGTCCAGATTGCTGTCCTGCATCCAGTGTCCCCTCAAGAGCCAGATGTGTGTGCTAGAATGCCACCGGGGATGGGCCCTCTGCCCACCGGGTCCCCATCATTTTCTACACTGCATTCTCTCCGTGTGTGCCAACACTGGAAATGTGAATGGCTGGGCTAAAAGGCCCTTTCTCTCCACTCTAGTCCTCTGACACTAGATCTCACTTAGAGCCTTTGAAAAGGCATCTGAAGGCCCTCGCTGGGACGGGGGACACTCTTCACCATGGCCCCAGCCAAGCCTTTGACTTGAGAAGGAACCTCCATTCTGAATTGGCTTTCCAACTGGTTCCCAACTATAGTCTTCTAGGCAGGGAAAGGGCCATTGGATTTAGGTTTCTTTCACAGCACTCCATCCTATCAGAGCCTTTCAGAATCCCACGGTCTGTCATTGAGTCGAGCCTTTGCCCAGCTTTGGAGAGGGACATCTCAAGGGAGAGGGGACTGAAGAGTCATGACCCAAGGAGATGCCAGGCAACCCTGCCCCCTCCCACATCTCTACTATGTGTTCATACTCCACACACATGCCTTCACACACGCATACACACCCATTATGTGCAGGATATCCAGAGCCACTTCTGTGGAGAGCTGCCTCCTCAGCTAGGAACACCTCGTGTGCAACTTGACATCTGATACTGGAGGGGGCTGTTCTCCTCTACTGATGGCCCTCAGAGAGGACCCCTACACTGGAAAGCATGAACCCTTGATGGTGGTGGGGTACAATTCAATAGCAGGCAATCTGGCAGGTTTTGCCTGAAATGTGATTTTCTTTTCTTCTTGGCTCTGAGCATTCTGGGCCCCAGAAAGCTGTGTTGTCAGACCATCAATGAAGAAAAAGGTCAAATTTTGTGACAGTATGTTCAGAATGAGCGTCCACTTCCCTAAGGCTGCTGGAAAGGGTGGCAGGGTGAAAATGAGCCCAGAACATCTCCTACCCTCAGACTCTGTCCCTCCTACCCCACAGGGTTACTGCAAGCCTGGTGAAGGCCACACCCTGGGGCAGGGCCACATCCCCTGAGAATGCATAGCTAGGAGGTGGCAAGTCTGTGAGCAAGGGAAGGGCCCAGGATACAGCCAACACTGGCTCTACCAGACTACAAATGCACAGGACCAATCTTGAGGGCACTTCTTAGACCATGCACATCTTCCATAACCTCCCTGTCTGGGTTTTCCATAACCCTTGCTGCTGGAGGTAAAGATGATCCCCTGATCCTTGCTTGGTAGTCTAGATCACTCTGGACTACCAGCAAGCCATGACCCCAAGAACAGCACCTGCACAGATCTCTCTCTCTCTCTCTCTCTCTCTCTCTCTCTCTCTCTCTCTCAGAATCCACACACAGCCTTGTAAACATCTTTTCTTCGCCTTGTGCAAGAGGAAATCTCTATCTATCCCAAGAAGCTGAGATTTTACAAAGTATAAGGAGAAGGGGGAGGCTCTGCTGGAGCTCAGAGCGGCAGGGCAGCTACTCCTCCCTGTCACAGACAAGGGGACTTACTGGATGAACAGTGAGTGGTCTTTGTTAAGCTCTGCCCCCCCCCCTTTTGCATACATTCAACACTCCATCTTCTTCCCAAGGAGCAAACTTTGGCCTCCTCCCCTCCTGTTCCCCCATGCCCCCAGCTTCAAGCCCCAGAGCGGTTGCTCTGAAGGCCTTGAACACCGCTTTGCAAGCCTGCTCTCTGCCTACCGTCTGGCTTGGGTATAGGTGGAAAAAGGAGGCATTGGGTAGGAAGAAACTTGCAAAGTGCTCCCGAGAGTGAGGAAATAGGGTGCTTTCCTGAGGCTGATTGGCAAGTGGGAGGTGACTACAAGGGCTCCCCGTGAGCGTCCAAACCAGGACCTCCTGCAGAAATCCAGTGACTCAGAAGGCAACCAGGAAAGGAGGGGCTGGCGTGCTAGCTCCCAGACAGCCTTTCCCCTCCCTCCTTTCTTCCACGCTAAGAGTTGCAAATTTTTCTTCCTAAGTTGCTGCAAATTGAACCCGTTATTTTGAGGGAAATGAGCGTTATCACCGCCTGCAAGTAAGCGTGTGTGCGCGCGCGGCGGCGCGTGAGTGCGTGCGGAGATGGTTTGAATGTTGGAAGTCTCCTTCTCAGTCCTCCGCGCAACCAGCCAGCTACAGCACGGCTCCCTCGTTCAGAGCCTCCCCAGAGCCTCCCCCTGCCCGGAGCCCCGGCCCTGTCTCCCAGCACGGCGGCGCTCTCCCGGTGTCTCCCGTGGCGCCCTGCTCGCAACCCCCAACCCCACCCCCGCGTGCCCAGCTTCCAGCGGGCGCCTGAACGCGCGCAACCCGGTGTGGCCCCCAGACTCGCCACCTGCAGGTACTCACCTAAAAAGAAGAAGAGGCAGAAGGCGTTTGCCAAGATCATGTTAAATAAATCCCACAGTTTTGTGTGTGTGTGTGTGTCTGTCTTTCTCCCTTAGGTTTAAAAAATAAAAATAAAATAACAACGATAATAACCGCCAAGCAATGATAATGACCCCCAAATCCAATGCGGAGATCCCGAACCGGCTGAAGATCCCGAGTCCTGGGGTTCTCGCTGCTGGTTGCAGGGGGTGGGGTGGGAGGCGGGCGGTGGGCTGCCTCTCGACGTCCCCCTTGCCACTGAAATCAAACACACGTAGCTATGTGTCTGGCTGCCTTCTAAGCCAACAGACTGGTCCTGAGGTCAGCCCAGCCCTCCGCACGTCCGGGAAGGCGTGAGTCCCCGCGGGTCCAATTCCCCTGCACTTCCCAGGAGGGGACTGGAGAGGTGGGGGCGAGGAGATCTGAAAGTGAAGGGCTGGAAGAAAGCAGCGAGGAAGGGGGTCAGAATAAATGCAAATAAGAAAGAAATCCAACGACGGATAAGGAGCAATCCAGTAGGAGCTTCTAGGATGGGAGACCAGAGTCGCTTCTTTGGCACCAAGACGAAGAAAAAGATTCAAAAAAAAAAAAATCTTCTCCCGCTAACCCTTGTTCGGCTCACTTTTTTCTAATGGAATTCCAGTGCCGGGGTGCCTGTGCTTGCGTGTGTCTTTCTCGCCTCCCTCCCTCTGCTCTCCCTCGCTCTCGCTCTTTGCTCTCGATCTCCACTCTCCCTCGCTTGCCTCTCCCTCCCTACTCCCTCTCTCTCTCTCTCTCTCTCTCTCTCTCTGCTCCTCCCTCCGCCCGCTCCCTCCCCCTTCACGGCTCCCTCGCCAAGGCTCTCACGCCTCGCCCCACTCCTCTGCCCCGGGCTCGGCGCTCCGGCTCCCTGGCGGCAGGCGACTCGGAGCGCGGGAGCGCGGTGGAGCAGCGACACTGCCGCAGCCGTGGCGGAGACTCAGCGGTGGTAGCAGCAGCAACGCAGCGGTGAGCGGTGGCGCTGGCGCCAGGGAACTCTGGCCTAGGGGTGAGCTCCACCACTGGCTCCCTCCGCTCAGCTACCCACCATCCTGGGACCAGCCTGCCGCCTTGGACAGAAACCGATTGGATCCCCGGGCTAGTGTCCATGCTCAAACCGACAAAGCCCATGAAGCCTCCACGCCCCCTCCTTCCATGAAATTTCTCGTCCCTCCTAGATGAGGGTTTGTGCCCACCGAGTGCCACTGCCCCTGCACTGGACTCCCAGGGCCATGAGATCTTGGACGCCTGGGAAAGCTGAGAGACGCTAGGGGACACTGAGTCCCGGGTGCGGGAGCCATCCTGGATGCATGGGGGCAGGGCAGTAGAGGGAGCCCTGGCCTGGTGGAGGTCTGAAAGAGAGCATCACTCTGCGAGATGATGTATCCCTCTTGGGAAGCGGATCTAAGCAGCACCCCAAAGGCACAGGGTACCCAAAGACTCCCTGTAGGCCAGTCCTTCAAGCAGGAGAGCTGGAGAGTAGCCTGCAAGCCTGGGTCTAGCCCCGCGCTCCTACACGAGTGTTCTGCCCGCGGGAGCTTGGGAACTTTCACCGCACACTGGCGCCTCTCTTGCCAAACCCCCCCACCCCCAACGCGCGCGCACACACACACACACACACACACACACACACACACACACACACCAGCTTTGCAGCCATTCCAGACTTTCCTTTACCATGCCCTGGACCAGAAAAAAAAAAGGTTGTCTGGGCGTCCCAACCGCCTCCTCCCAGGCAAGTGAACCAGACGGAACCGTGCGGGAAGAATCCAGCCTGGATGCGCACTCCAACCTACTGGGGTGGCCCAAAACACAGAGCATCCAGGCCTCCACTTCCCACCTCCGCCCCCCACTCAGAGATCGCTTGGGCTCCCAGAGCAAGTCGGGAACTGTTGGCCCCTCCCCGCTACCCGCTCGGAGGCTGCCGGGGACTTTTCCCCAAGCCGAGAAGGGGACAATTGATCCATCTGTCTTTGGGCCCCCTCACCCCCCTGCTCACTGGCGTGTTTTAGTCACGGAATTTACAATAAAAGCCCAGAAGCACCGCCGAAAAAGAAGCGTTTGGCTGGGAATGGGTTGAAGGCGAAGTGAGGTTGCTGACGGAGGTGGCAGGGCAGCAAACAGACAGGCGGTGCACAAACCGCGGCGCCCTCAGGATCATACAACCCACGCACACTGAGCACCCTAATTCCATGTTCCTCTCTGACACACCCTCGGCTGCCCTAAATCGCGGGCTTTTGGCACCCCTGTGCCTTGCATGCGGCTCCTCGCACTCTGAGTGCCAGGGCCTGGTTTATAGGGTGTCTCCTCAACTTTCCACGCTGCCAAAAAAGAAAAAAAAATTAAGAAGAAAAAGCAATGAAAGGTGGTCAACATCCAAAACTTATTTGGGAGTGTCTTTTAAAATGCATTGTTAAATACCAGCGATAGAATAGAGGAAGTGCTAGAAATCCATTTAGTGTGGAGAGGATCACTCACAAAACCAGCAGTCTTGGCTGCTAGTGGGAAAGCTAGAGAGAGCAACTTCCATCTTGTGGATTTAGGCGGGCAAGCAGCTTTTCCCAAGTATGGGAAGCACCTAATAGGTGTCTCATCCAGCCCAAGGAAAACAATGATCCTAGACCCTACATCCAATAATACCACTGTGATGTCTGGGTAGTGGAGGGCTCCTGCAGAAAGTGAGCAATCGCCCAGTACTGAAGCAACAGGCTTCCCTCTGTCCTTCCTCCAGGGTGATTCTCTTTTACAGAATGACCTCCCAAGGTCTCCTAGGTTCTTTCCAAAACTTGGGAAACTTAAAGATCTGATGTCAGCCAAATGTTGGCAAGTATAGGTTAAAAGATAAGAAGCAGACAGCGGTGGCCGTGCACACCTTTAGTCCCAGCACTCAGAAGGCAGAGGCAGGGGGGATCTCTGTGAGTTCAAGGCCAGCCTGGTCTACAAGAACTAGTTCCAGGATAGGCTCCAAAACTCTAATGAAACCCTGTCTCGAAAAATCAAAGAGAGAGAGAGAAAGAGGGAGAGGGAGAAGAAGGGAAAGGGAAAGGGAGAGAGAGAAGCAATATGAGTTATACCTCTAGGGACTCTTAGCTCAGAAGCCAAACGTTGGGAGCCTTGTCATTAAATAAATAAAGCCCTTTTCACTCACTCACCTACATCCAGAGCCTTCTGATGGTCCAGGCATTACCTACCTCCACTCATTTGTATCCCTTAAAGATCTCTCTTTCAAGTAGACCCTAGAGACTTTAAATTACTGCTGAGCAGTCCTTCCTTTACTCAGACGGTATATATCGTACCTCCGTTTAGCTCTAGCTGAGTATAAGAAGGAAAGGGCTCCGAAACATCAATTTTGTCACCCACCTATAGTTAAGTGTACTGAGAAAGCAGCAGAAGACAGCTAGGGATGAGCTCTACCGAGTTCCCATGGGAACAGGGATATGGAATTCTGATAGTAGGAGGTGAGCGACTTGAGATGCTTCAGGCCTTCCAGACCACCCAACCCTCACAAGGACAATGAGAAGCACTCACCGCCACCACTCTTTGGCTGTGTGACTATAGGACATATTTACCTTGAACCCTCTTTCCTCCTATCTGCACCAAGATCCACCATCATCTTCCAATGGCCAATCTAAGTTACTGTTAGATAGACCTCAATCCATTCACCAGGATCTACTGGGGAGAATGTATTAGGCATGGGGCAACTTAGTCCCTCTGAACCTTAATTATCTCACATGTAAAGTGGAGATGTTTCCTAAAAACAACTTTGTAAAAATTACGATACTGCACACAAAGCCACTGGTGGAGTGCCTGACTCACTTCTTCCCTCCTGGATCCAAACTGAAAATAAGGCTATAGGATCTAAGTGTAATCAGAAGCAGAGAGTAAAAAACAGCAAGGGTTCAAGAGAAATCGAGGGTGTTTTCTAGAAGATGGGAGCAGACCTTGCAGGAGGAAGTCATCGGAGACAGTGGTGGGGGGTGTGCTATCCTTTGAGAGATGAGACATGACACTCTTAGATACCCTGTATCCTTTTCCGTTTCCATGGGCACCACCTCTCTGTACCTGTGCTTGAAGGATGCCAGAGCAGCCCCTGGACTCAGACTGAGCATCACAAGGTGCAGGGGGAGAGAAAGAGGGCATATGAACCTAAATGCCTCTTCTTTGCCTGGTGGAGAAGATTCTCTCCAAAGCAAGAGCAGTAAGGAGTAAGAAGACACAGAGTAACCCACCCACATATAGTGCAGAATCTCTTCCTTTGGCATAAGGAAGAAAGCTCTGGGTTGCCTTTTCCTATAGATGGAAACTAACTAAGAGTTTTTTAAAAAAAAATGGTGGCCCGCATCATGCTAAACACACCAGGAACCACAGAGGTGTGTTCCACCACAGGACAGCAGCCCAACCCAGGACATTCACCGCCAGCCAACCAGAACAAACTTACCTGATATCTCATCAGTCCTCAGAACCTCACCAAAGGCTGTGGGAATAGGACTGGGTGTCTCCCTCAGGGAAGCATTTAGAGATGGAGTTAGTCATGTCTTCGTGAAAAGAGAGGGAACAACCCAAAGGCAAAAAGAGAGGAAGAAAGAAAGTGGCGCTGTATTTCAGAACAGGCGTCCAAAGGGATCTCACTGTTCATGGGAGTGAGACTCACTCTGGAGAGGTAAGCAAATTTGTCTAAGGACATTTCAGGTGTAGGAAATGTCCTTATGTGTGAGGTTGCTGTGATGGGGAAGGACTGAGACATCCAAGAGTTGAGAGGGACCAAGAGCACAAGTCGAAGAGGTCTGGTGGGAGGAGATCTAAAAGATCCAGTGGGGAGTGACATATACCAGGGGCTGTAGACTTGAGCCTCTAAGAGCCACTAAAGGCATTGAGCGGGTATGTGCCATACACTGGTGTGATATGACAAGTGTATGAACCGTGGAGACGATGGGGGCACTTGTGACAGTGTCAGCCTGAGGTGAGGAGGGCCCTAACAGGAGATGGCAGAGGGCATGGAGAGGAGATGGCTGCCAGAGACAGGGCATTTCTAAAATGAATCAACAGGATGCTGGTGACAGCTTGAACACGATGAATGGGGGAAAGAAATTGCCATCTACTCCAGAGCTTGGCTAAGGACACCAACTCTCATTTTGCAGGCTTTGTTATGGGGAGTGGTGGGGGAAAGTAGTTAACTTGCTGGTGGAATATAAGTTCATACTCCTTTAATTCTAATAATAGCCCCATGGGCTAGGTTAGTGGTTTAGCTTACACAAAGTCCTATTCTAAGTGGGATAAAGTCAGGCAGCTGAAATTGAGGGTACTGCATTAGACAATCCGGGCTCCATACGAATAAACAAAATGACAGCAGCTCTCTTGGCCTATAAATTAAGAACATCTGAGATAATTCCTTTCTCCCTTCCCTGTCTGTGTAAAAAGAAAAAAAAATCATGTTACTCAAAATTCTTTTTGTTACTTATACTTTGCACCTGTCTGGCTTCACCCTTAGAGTTCAAGACTTGAGACTAGAAAGAATCCTGTCCCCATAAAACAGCTTCACAGTGTCCAGCCCTGTGTCCTGAGCCCTGATTATCCCTCTGATGACAGGAGCACCCCAACTAAAATAGCCTTGGTCCAAGTCATTATGGATCCCAAGGTGCGCCCCCGAAGGAAGGCGCCAGCCTAGGGATTAACTAAACCTTCTGGTTCTCAGAGAGGGAACAAGGCTTCATGCTAGGGTGAGACCAGATGA